AATCCTTTGCCATTTTTAATCGGGTGAAGGAATATTTGCATCTGGGTTCACACTTCCCAGCAAAACCACAGGTTTGAGATATGCTGTTCCCCTCCCAAAACAATTCCTTTAATTTCTGCACATACCATTAATACCTTTGGTGTTTTTTCTCTAAACTTCTATCCTCTGGCGATAAAGAATGGGCATATTTGACAGTTTTTCTTTCTCTCATCCTTTATTCTCCCGTTTAAAATATGTTTTGGAAAAATATGATTAAGAACAGCTTGCTAAATATCTGGACTGATAGGTGTGATAAATCAGGAGAGAAGAATGAAAGAGAGAGAGAGAGAAAGAAAAACATGTTTTTCTATAGATGTAGAATGTTTCAGAAATACTAAATGCACACAGAGAATTGCACTCATTTTTCTGAAAGAAACCTTATTTTTCAAGCTTCTGCCTAAAGAAAACGGACTTGTTTCTATTTCAAAGATTTCAGGAATTTTAAAAAGGCCCAGTGTGCTTCGTGTTTTGTTGCCTCTCCAATTCCCATTTACAGACTACAGATTAACAGAGTTGGAAGGGACCTTGTAAGTTAAAAAACTTTAACCTTAGACTGTCTACTATTGACCTCACCCCTTTCCTAAGAGGTCTATAGGGGGCGTGCATAAGCGCACCAACGTGCCTTACCATCCCTGTCCTATTGTTTCTTTCATTTTTTATTTTTCTTATATGTATCCATGTATTCATAACTATGTTTTTACTTATACCTATTATCTTGTAAGCAATTGACAAACCAAATAAATAAAATAAATAAAATATCTAATCCAACCCCCCGCCCAAGCGGGAGACCCTGCACCATTTCTGATAAATGACAGTCCAGTCTCTTCCTGAAAGTCTCAAGTGATGGCGCTCCCACAACTTCCGAGGGCAACTTTTGTTCCACTGGTTGATTGTTCTCACTGTCAGAAAATTTATCCTTATTTCCAGGTTGAATCTCTCTTTATTCTGTTTGGGAGATCATGTCATTGGGTTCAAGGTCCAACTTCTCCCACCCTTGGACAAGAGCATAGGGTAGATATTGGGGCCATAATGGGCTTCAGCGATCAATTCTCAAATACTGATTCAGTTCTCAAACCCCATTTTCATTCACCTCATAGCTTTTCAAACCTCAAATTTGCAACACAAAATATGTCATAGAAAGCAAAAATAAAATGGTTACCTTGATGTTAATGTCCAGAGAGAGGGACAAAGCTGATAAGCCCCTTGTAATAAGGCTCTGTTCCATTCGAATAAGTCTGTTGTCTTAATCCTTGTGGTGTTTTTTTGTGTACTGAATATATTTGTGAGCTGCCTCTCTAGACTAATAGATTTCCCGGGGCATCTTACAATGTAAAATCAGTCCAGTTCGAAATTACATCATGTTGTATTTAAAAGACCGTTTTGAAACAAGTCTACAGCAATAAAATGTCATTTTAAGAGTCTAATACTAAATAGAAAAGCCCAAATGTTTGATGTTTAGACATTGCTGACCTTCCTTTAAATGACTATCTATATAATCAACAAT